TTTTCGTGATAATATTCGACATTTACTCTGATGCCATGGTCGATTAATACGAGCGGAGAGCGACCATCGGCTGTTATGGCGGACCACAACATCACCATGGCCGGCGCTTGAATTCTGGTGCCCAACCGAAGGTGCACATTTTCAGCTGACCTCTTTGGCAAGTAAACACGATTATTTCGTTTGTTTACAAACTGCTGGACAACGAATGTTTTCTCATCGGAGAAAACCAAATTCGACAGTTCGACTGGAGTGCTCTAACGATAGCCACTTGTGGTTTTCCAGCCAAATATAAAGAAATCACACTATCACGCTTGAATTCCATCACGAATAACTTTTTTTCTGGAAAATTTACTTTTGTACGCTTGCAAAAAATATAATGAGTTGTCGCTGGAATAATTTTAACAGCTGTCGGACGAGGGGCTTAGAAATGACAGCAGTCTGAAGTTGGTTGCAGTATTTTACATCTCACCCTGTGTATGCGAGCTATGTTCAAATCTGAAGCGATCTTGATAAAATTGGGCCAATGTGGCTGATCTAAATTTGATATATTTCACTGAATATCGTTGTTACGAAGTGCATATTGCGGCTGTGGAGAACATATATAACAAATCGGATGAACGATATATCTGAACCGATTTTCACTAAATTTGACATACTAGTTTTTAGACTCAATTTGCTAAATTCCATCACATTTGGGCTAATATTACACGTTTGGTGCACAATAACGACAAATCGGACATAGATATATATGGGAGCTATATCCATATCTGAGCCAATCTCGATAAAAATTAGCGAATGTATTTCTGAGCTGTATTTGATCTTTTTCTCCAAATATCGTTTTTACAAAGTGCATATTACGGCTGCGGAGGACAAAAATAACAATTCAGATGATCAATATATATGGAGGCCATATCTATTTCTGAACCGATTTCGTTGAAATTTGGCATACTTATTTTCAGGCCTAATTTGGTTGTATGTGCAAAATTTCATACTATTAGAGCTGATATTACACGTTTGGTGGACAGTAAAAGGCAAATCGGACAAAGATATGTATGAGAACTGTATCTAAATGTTGACCTTTTATCTCCAATTCCAATAGGGTTCGTCTTTGGGTCAAACAAATGACTTGTGCAAAATTTCATCTGGAAACAAAGTACGTCCTGTACTTTGTTTACAAAAATACATGGACAGACGGACATGCATAAATCGACACAGAATGTGACTCTATGCAGATCATTGAAAGGTACTAAGGGTCTATCATATCGTTTTCTTTTGCCTGTTACAAACAAATGCACAAAAACATAAAAACGAGCGTTGTTTATTTTACTTATTTCCAATACGTTCTATTTTGTATCTGCCCTCGTACAAGGAAATCACTAAATGATATATTGCACAAACAATACATGCTTACAACAACAATGTTGTTTTTATAAAATTTATAAGTTTGGTGATAATTAAAACAACACTTACTTCATTCCTTACTTCTCATTTCTATTCATCACACAATGTCCTGGTATGAAATTAACTACAAACAATGTGATGAATATGCAATTTATTTAAAAGTTATACAGACTAAGCATACAAAGATGTATGTGTGTGTGCCTGTGTTTGTGCGTGTGAATGTAAATATTTTTATAGTTTTGATAAATTTAAATATGATTTGATGGCACTCCTTTTATTCATTTTTCACTTCCTCGAATTGTACACACAAACATAAAGGTATGTTTATTTGAGGTAAAGAACTATTGTAGTGCAGTGTTACTACCTGTATAGTCCTGTGCATGTCTCCAGCTCTCGTTTCTCCTTTGTGATTGAGCTTTTATAGTTTAAAAATGCATGCATGCCACTATCATAATTGCTGGCCATTGTTGAGCATAGTCACGAACTTAATAGAAACAACAAAGGAAGAAAGAAACAAACTATTTTTTTCCATTTACTTGTTTCTTTTCTTTTGTTTTTTGCTCCATACATTTTATTTCTCAATTTGTTATTACTTCTATTTGTGTTGTGTTGTGTTGTCCTTTTTGTTGTTGCTATTATTTTTGTCATTTGCAGTGAGTGGGCAATGTTGTTTTACTTTGTTGATTGCGTGACATGATTGTTTATTGTTGGCGGTTGGTTAGGTGGGGTTTTTTATTCGGAGACACATATACAATTCTCATATGTGTGTGTGGGTGTGTGTGAACGGAATCCTTTTAACTGCTTTATTTTGACTCTGCTTCACGTGTCACTCCCGGGGGAGGTACTCTGGACTGCATCTTTGTCTGTGATGCGTCAATGCATTGCCACAACATTGTCTACGGGCAATGAGTGTTGATTTGTATTGTCGAGTTTTTATCTCTTCCCTAATGACAACATGTCTGTGGATTATTTTGAAAATTCTCCAGCTCTGATTGGCTTGTTGAGATAAAATGTAAACACCAATTTTTTTTTTGGTATTTCTTTTTAAATTGAATTAAATTGCCAACAATGTTTTTGGGTAGAAATTTTACAACAGTTTTGTAAAATATTATTTATGGTCATCGGAATCGTAGATTATTTTTTTTTTTTGTGGAAATTTCGAAAAATTGGTACAGAGTTAAATATTGAAGCATTGGGCATGTGCTTATGTTTGACCAGATAGGAATTAATTGGCGTCACTGCTTAGAAATGGATTTATAAAAGTTGATTTTTTTTGGAAAGTAGTACCAAATACCAGAACGTTTGTGAATAAAATATGTCATTATGTTATTATTAAGACACTGTTGGAATCGATCCAACGATACGCATCCGTCTATCTGACTGATATATAACTCTCGAGGGGTGTATTATTTAGGGTTGGTAATATTTTATGGTTGAGGTGAATGATATTGATTTTCTGTCCACAATAAACCCCCCCTTAAAAAAATATTAAAATCTAAAAAAAAATTATATACTGATTCCTTTTAAGCCTAATTTGTGCAAATATTGACACAAGGTAATAGTTATGCAAGACTTATGCCATATTCGAATATGATAATATTGGCCTCTTTTCCGCGTACCTTTTCCAAAAAAATGAAAATTTGGAAAATTTCACGCAAAATATACAACACAATTCAGAAAAGTAGGCATTTCGTTGAGGCACGAACCTAAGTGCCACAACCTTTCGTACATACCTGTGTGCAAAAATGGAAAACATTGATCCACTTCTTCCTGTGCCTCCACACAAAATAATATAATTTTGAATAGTTAAAATGATTTTCACATTCCAATATTTCTGTCAAATTTAGATCAATTGGGAAATATAAAAATATCGATTTTTTAAGTCTGTTTTTAAGTTTTTTTTTTGAAAATTACGATATAAATGGGGTCCCTGAGATGTCTCCAAACTCGTTAAACAAATCCTAAGATTTCTAATAAAATTTGATCAATGACTTGCTGGTCGAAATTGTGTTTTAATGATTTCGTTTTTTAAATAGTTTCGAATGACTTCCTACCCAAGAATTCTGGATTAATAAAAAAAATTATTTTCGAGGATCTCTTAGCCAAGTATTTGCGTATTTTTTAAATATTCTTTTAAGAATCCTCTTGCCAAAAAAGTTGGATTTTATTAAAGTATTTTTCAAGGAAAGACCTCCTAAGAAACTTGGTTTTTCGTAAAGTAGTTATATTGTTTTAAGGACTTCCCAGCGGAGAAAATTTATTATTTTTCATAGGATTCATGGCAAAGAATCATATTTTTAAAGGAATCCTAGCAAACAATCTTGGATTCTTTAAAAATGTTTGTCAAACATTTGACGCCGAGATTTGAAAATGTTATATAAATATTTTCAAGACAGCTTTTAGGACTTCATAGTCAAGAATTGTCGATTATTTTAAATAGTAAGTCTTTTTTAAATATTTCATGGACTTTCTTTTGCCAATCATCTTGGTTTTTTTTCGACGAAGGATTTCTTTTAAATATTTTTCAAGGAATTTCAAACCAAGAACCGTGTTATCTAAGGACTTCCTAACCAAGAATTGTGAATTAAAACAAAATATTTTCAAGGACTTCCTTGTAAAGAACCTTTGATTTTTAGATATTATTTTTCATGGATTTCTGAGGTTTCCACTCAAGAATCGGGGATTCTTTTGATATATTATTTAAAATGTCAAGGACTCCGAAGTAAAATTTAATTTTAATTTTTATTTTATAATAGACAGTCAGACTTAACATTTTATACGATTTATGAATATTCAAAATTGTAACTCTTTGTGGGGGAAGTACCAGAAAAAGTTAGCCGACATTGTTTATTTTCACGCCTTACTTAACACTGACACAAGTGTTAGAATTTTTTAAAGTTTGAACAAAATGAATTAGGGATAAATTATTTTCTTGGCATATTTTGATCTTTCGTGGAGGAGGTATTAGAATAATTGGAAATTTCAATATATTTTTTTCACTCGATAACAATGATATTTGGTTCCAGGTATCAGATGCAGGTCTGGAATATATCTGCCACATTTTTATCGAAATCGGTCATTTTGACATTTCTTTGCTGAATTGAAAATACTCAAACTATCCTGTACACTTTTAAACATTTTAAGACTTTCGAAAAAATCATGAATTTTGTAAGATTTTTTTTTTTTTTTGTAAAAACATTATTGAGGGTTAACATTTGTTGAGGGTGTAAGTACTAAATAACAAAAATCTTTGATTCTGTTGTTGTTCACGTACTTCTGGTCCAAAAATTAGTGGGTTTTTATTCAAGATATTTTTTCAAAGTTTTCTTGAGAAATCTTCGATTTTAAAAGAAAGTTAACTGTTTTCTAACAATTGTTGATAACACAATTTTCCTTCGTATGAGTTAAATAATTTTGTCATTAGTACAATCCCGTTGTTTTTCATCATGTGATGATATGTCATGTTGAGGCTCAATTTAATTTTGTTAAAATATGTTTCCAAATTATTTATATGAAAAATGTTATTTACAAGAGCCAACAGAAGCGGAAGCCTGTCTGACCATTTCTGTTAATATTTAATTTTTTTTTCTGTTTTGCAGGAGTGATGCTTTGGCAACCTTATTCTCAGCGTTGTATGGCAAATTATTGGTTGTTATGGGTATTGCATTTCCAATGGCTGAAGTTATCTCAACGTATATTCCGCCGTCATTTTACGAGGTAAGTTAAAAAGGATGATTGCAAAATTACTTGGTTGGATATCATAGACATACATCTGGATTTATACAGACTTATAAGAAATTACCTAATTAAAATGTTATTTTAAGTGATCATGTAACATGTCTCTTTGATAGTTTGGACAGTAATTGCTTTATACGACATGTCAATTTTAAAATAAGTTTTTTGGATGCCGTTTTATGCGTAGTTACTGTTGCGTGAATATAATTAAACAACAAGTGCACGCTACTTCGTCTGCGAAAAGTCCACCTTAAAATATCTCGAAGGGATTATCTGATTTGTTCCAAACTTGATACATCGTAATGTTATTATCAACTTTGGATCGAGTTCGGAGATGACCAATATCGGTCACTCCTTCTGGTACCTCACAAATGGTCGAAATTTTCAAAAAAATATTTCACTGCACAGAAAAAGGAAGGATAATCAGATTTTGCTGCAACTTTCAAATCCTAATATTTGCTATGTCAGGTGCGAAAATGGACAATATTGGTTCACTTCTTCGGGTACCTCCCCCCCAAAACGTCAGTGTTTTGAATAACCAAAACGAATATAAAAAAAAAAAAAAAAAAAAAAAAAAAAAAAAAAACATCCGGTTCTCTTCATATTTCACACATCCCATTATATCTTTTAATACAAAATATGCTGTGAAGTTGGGATATATTGGCCCACTCCTTCTGGTACTTCCCCCACAAGGGGTCAGCATTTTGAATATCCATGAAGCTGATAAAAGCTCAGTGTGTCCTTCAATACAAGATCTGTTATAAAGATGGTAGAAATCGGACCATTTATTTTTATACCTTTCTCACATATGGTTCCAGATTTTGAAAAACAAAACGCTCAAAGAAAGCGAAAAAAGCATCCAACTCTCTTCAAATTTCACACATATAAACATTTTTGCTAATGCAGGATCTGTTGTGAAGATGAACCCCTTCTGGTACCTCACCCACAAAGGGACTCATTTTCACCTATCATAACTTGGGAAGCAAGTCAGCGATTCTATACAACTTGCTATATTTAAATATATCTCTCAACCATAAACCTAAGATGAATATGGAATTATGGTATATGGTTATCGTAAATAATCAAAGGCACCAACACCGACATCTATATCAAATTTTAGGGTTTCAGCCCTATTCCATCATCCAATAGAAAATATAGTACCATTCAGTACTTTTCGTACAATTACAGGTTATTTCCACAACCAACTCCATATCTTATCTCCAGACACCGAAAGATACCTTAATATCAAATTTCGAATTTAGTACTTTTCGTACATTTACTGGACGCATTTCCAAACCACAGCCATTCTTAATAACCAATTCCATTATTAATCTAATATTAAAATTCAGAATTTTATATCTATCCCTTCACCCAATCTACACATAGTACCATTTAGTACTTTTAGTACAAATTAAGTACACATTTCCGAAACCACCACTGTATGTCCGGGCTACATATGAACAGCGCCCCTAATACCACATTTCAGATTTCAAGTGCTACCAGTTCAACCATTATCAAATTGTACCGAATGTAGTACTTACTATTTAGTACTTTTCGAGCACATATTGTACACATTTCTGAAAAATGTCGGAAATAGCATCAAATTTTAGAATAAGTTTAGATTTGTTCGAAATGGTCACCTTTATGGCCTTCAAACGCCTATGAAACCGCTGCCCGAATGTTGCTCTGCGGTATTTTGGCCCATTCCCGGCGAAGCGCTTGCTTGAGGTAAATTGTGCGCTGGAAATGAAGCGAGGAACCTCAATTTGCAACCACTCTTGGGTGGCGCGTGCTGAGTCCTGTTGGAATGTCCAAGGTCTGTGGCCAAAATGTTTGAGTGCCCAAGCGACCATCGGCTGTTATGGCGGCACACACCATCACCATGGCCGGCGCTTGAGTTCTGGTGGTCAACCGAAGGTGCACATTTTCAGCTGACCACTGACTTTTTTCGGCTGACTGTGGCAAGTAAACACTATCATTTTATTTGTTTTTTTACAAACTGCTGGGCAACGAACATTTTCTCATCGGAGAAAACCAAATTCGGCAGTTCACCACTTTCGGCCAAGCGAAGCAACTCTTTAGCTCTTTTGAGTCTATTTTCTTTCCTTCGCGGTGTAAGTTCTTGCAGTTTTTGGAATTTTAATGGCTTTACCGCGAGCTCATTTTTCAATATTTACCGAATGGAATATTGCGATATGTTAAGCTCACGAGCCATTTTTCGGCCACTGCGACGCAGGTTTAGATCAAGTCGCTGCTGTAGTTTTTGAAACATTTCTGCTGATGTTGCTGTTTTCTTTCGTCCACTTCCTTGACGTCGGGCTACGCTACCAGTATCGCGGTAACGAGTGATGGTACGAGACATAAAAGATTTATTCACATTTAAATGTTGGAGTGCTCTAATGATAACCATTTGAGGTTTTCCAGCCACATATAAAGAAATCACACTATCACGCTTAAATTCCATCACGAATAACTTTGTTTCTGGAAAATTTTCATCAAAATGCTTTTGTACGCTTGTAAACAATATAATGAGCTGTCACTGGAATAATTTTAACAGCTGTCGGACGACAGCAGCAGCAGAAATTACAGCAGTCTGAAGTTGGTTACAGTTTTTTCATCCACCCTGTATTTCCGAAACCATCTCAATATGTCCAGGCTACACCAGAATAGCGCCTCCAACATCAAATTCCCCATCAGAGTCCCCAATATGAACATTTCAAATTCGCATTTACTTCCGTTCACACGAAACGGAATTGTACCAAATGTAGTACCATTTCGTACAATTGTTACACTTAGTATACATTTTAAAAAACACCTCCTTACATCAACCCCATTTCCAATTTAGTGCAAAAGTAGTAACTATCACCAAAATGTACTTAATAAACCCATTGTCTGCTGGGTTTACTATTCCCACGCATGATGATATATACATACAGACAAGTTTTCACTTCGTTTATATTTTCGAATACTAATACAATCTGTGCATCCATGAATACCGTCAGTTGGTGTAACAAACTCCGAGAACTTTTCACTTCGTATAATTAAACAACCATAAAAGAACAACGATCTGTGGTGTTGGAAGTCGGTTTGCTAAATGAATATTAAATAAGACATTACCAGATGATGAATGTAAATGAGATAAATTGATTATTTAACATTTGCATAAATGACCCCAAGAAAAGAACGAAACTGTGGTGGAAAATCATAAATGATGTGTTTTAAATTATATTTGGAATAAAATTATAACAATTTTTTTTGGGGGAAAATTAAAAGTTTTTTATTCTTTTTATCACAGAAAAGATAAAAAAACTTCCCATGAACACCCCCAACATAATCTTACAAAATAATGTTACGTACAAGGAATGGGGCTACAATGAACATCATTGAGGGGGGGATGTTTGTTTTATGCCTTGGCACCGGAAATTAATGAACCAAAAAAACCGTAAAATCAATTTTCGAAACTGGCAGCAGACAATGTCAGAAATTTGTATGCCTGTCATACATGAAATACTCCAGGAGACAAAAAAAAACGAAACGAAACGTACGACAACACAACGTTAAGTAGGTAGACATACTATGCGAACGATTATTACAAAAACAAAAACAACTCCACCAACATCAATGATGAGCTGATGTTGTCTCTTAAAACTCTGTTCGCTGATGTAACACTGCTACCTTATTTTGGGTGGGAGTTCCACGGCATTTCCTCTGTTCCAACAAGGATTGTTTCCTCCCCGTACCGGCAGCATGTTTTCGGCTGCTACAGGCAAATGTCATGTTCAATTGCTTACAACATTAACTTTTCGTTCGTTCGTTCAGCAACATATTTCAAAGTGTGTCCCCAAACTGTCTGCCAGTCTTTTTCGTCGTTTATCCGTTCATTTTGTCTATCAGACTGAGTGACTGACTGACTTACGGTGTTGCCTTGTGATATCGTCTGATGTTTAATGCTGCTGGAACTGGCGATGATGTTATTTTCCATTTGTCGCCAAAAAATTAACAAACACTTTTCGGCTGCTGGTAGTCATGTTATGTTTGGCCTAAATGGGGAGACATATGGGGCATGAAAGAAAATTGAAAAAAGTTGTTAGCTTCAAAAATGTTGCCTAGGTAGTCAATGATTTATGTGAAACTCAGGAGCTCGACATATAGACTTGGAAAATATATTGAAAAAAAAAAAAAAAAACAAGTAAGAAAACATTAAGTTAAGCCGAACTTTTAATACTCTCCAACTTAGAAAACATTAGAACCCATTATAACCCACAAATACCAATTTTTAGACAAATCAGCGAAGAAATATGGCAAAAATCATCAAAATACCGAATATGGAAGCTATACCAAAACGTAGACCTATACATACAATGTTTTGGCACCGCAGCCAGAACTCATTATGACCAACAAATACCAATTTTTAGACAAATCCATGAAAAAATATGACAAAAACCACCAAAATACCGAATATCGGGAGGTACCGGGAGGTTATATGGGGACTATACCAAAACGTGGACCTATACATTCAATGTTTCGCCACCAGAGCTAGAACACATTTTTAGACAAATCCGTTAAAAAATGTGGCAAAAATCATCAAAATACCAAAACTCGGGAGGTACCGTTATATGGGGGCTATACCAAAGCGTGGACCCATACATGCAATATTTCGCCACACGAACTAGGACCCATTATGATTTACAAATACCAATTTTCAGACAAATCCATGGAAAAATGTGGCAAAAATTATCAAAATACCGAATATCGGGAGGTACCATTATATGGCGAATATACCAAAACGTGGACCGATACTTCTCATTTTCACTGCCAACCATCCTAGACACAATACAAATTGTTCTGCTAAATTTTGACGCTCTACGTCAAATATTGTGGGCTGTATCGTGATTTCAACAGACAAACGGAAAGACAGAGAGACATGCGGACAGACAAAAAGACGGTGATCGTTAAATCAACATAGAATTTTAAGCTGAGTACGAAATATTACATATACCTTATGGGATCTACGACGAATATTTAGGGATGTTACAAACGGAATGACAAAGTTAATATACCCTCCTTTCCAAGGTGGAGGGTATAAAACAAACAGTAAGGAAAAGTGAAAATTCGGCGGGGCCGACTACATGATACCCTACACCACTATGCGTACTTAGTATAGCTCCCATAAGAAAGGAATTTATTTGAGGTAGATCATACCACCTATCAAAATTTGGCTTTAGATCAGTTATAGTTTGGTTTCAGAGGTAACTAATATGCAGGGTGAGATGAAAAACATGCAACCAACTTCAGATTGCTGTCATTCCAGCATTTTGGTGAGAATTTTCCAGCAAATATGTTATTCGTGATGGAATTCAAGCGTGATTTCTTTATATTTGGCTTCAAAACCACAAGTGACTATCGTCAGAGCACTCCAACAATTAAGTGTGAATAAATCTTTTATGTCTCATACCATCTCTCGTTACCGTGACACTGGTAGCGTAGTCCGACGTCAAAGAAGTGGACGGAAGAAAACAGCAACATCAGCAGAAATGGTTCGAAAAGTAAAGAAGCGACTTGATCGAAACCCGCGTATCAGCGGCCGAAAAATGGTTCGTGAGCTGAACATATCGCAATATTTCATTCGGAAAATGTTGAAAATTGAGCTCAGGATACAGCCATTGAAAGCCGTAACAGAAAGAAAATAGACTGAAAAGAGCTAAGGAGTTGCTTCACTTGGCCGAAAGTGGTGAACTGCCGAATTTGGTTTTCTCCGATGAGAAAACATTCGTTGTCCAACAGTTTGTAAACAAACAAAATGATCGTGTTTACTTGCCAAAGAGGTCAGATGAATATGTGCACCTTCGGTTGGCCACCAGAACTCAAGCGCCAGTCATGGTGATGGTGTGGGCCACCATAACAGCCGATGGTCGCTCTTTGCTCGTTTTAACCGACCATGGCATCTGAATAAATGCCTAATATTATCGCGAAACTGTTCTGGAGGGTGTATTAAAGACATTTTGGCCACAGACCTTGGATATTCCAACAGGATTCAGCACGCGCCACTTCAGAATAGTTACAAAATGAGGTTCCTCGCTTCATTTCCAGCGCACAATGGCCACCGAAATTTTGGCCGCCGACCTTGGACATACCAACAGGACTCAGCACCATCGCATTCAGCACTCGCCACTGAAGAATGGTTACAAAATGAGGTTCCCCTCTTCATTTCCAGCGCACAATGGCCAACAAAATTTCCGGATATCAATTCGTTGGACTATTGTGTCTGAGGTATTTTGGAAAGCAAGGTTGGCACCAAAAAATACCAATGTGTCGATCACCTCAAGCAAGCGCTTCGCCGAGAATGGGCCAAAATACCGGGCATCGTGTGACGGTTTCATTGCCCGTTTGAAGGCCATAATTCGTGCCAAAGGTAACCAAGTCGAGTAAATCTAAACGTATTCTAAAATTTGATGCTATTTCCGACATTTTTTGATTTTATTCAATTAAATTAAAAAAAAAAAAGTTAAAAAGCAGTAAGTTCGGCCGGGCCGAACTTTAAATACCCTTTATCATTTGGAACGAATTTGGAAATTTTCAAAAAATAAAATCCGTTAAAAATTCTGTTAAAATCTTAAATATTTCGAATATAGCCGCTATATTGGGGGCTATACGACGTGAACCTACTTAGGCTTTGTTTGTCATAAGCCATTATAATATTCAAATTCGAAACTTAAAATAAACGGTGAATAATGTAGCTAAAAAAATCAAAATACCGTATATAGGGAGGTACCGTTATATCGGAGTTCTACGAAGACGTGGACCTGCATAGACAATTTTCTGTCACCCATTACGAACTTGAAATAAGACATCTCAAACAATTTCGGTGAGTATTGTACATAAAATCGTCAAAATACCGAATATAGGGAGGTACTGATATATGGGGGCTACACGAAGACCTGGACCTGCAATTTTCTGTCATAGGCTGTAGTATCCATTACGAATTTTAAATACCAAATTTGAAACAATTCCGGTGAATAATGTAGCTAAAATCATCAATATGCCGAATACAGGGAGGTACCGTTATATGGGGCTATGCGAAGACGTGGACCTGCACAGACAATTTTCTGTCTTAGGCTGTAGTATCCATTTCGAACTTCAAACACCAAATTTAAAAGAATTCCGGTGAATAATGTCGCAAAAATCATTAAAATACCGAATATAGTGAAGTACCATGGGGGCTATATGAAAACGTGGACCTACATGGCCTAACTACGAACTTAACCTGCCTACTGGCAAAATAAACATGTGTGCAAAATTGTAACCGTCTATCTCAATTCGTTCGAAAGATAGCTTGATTACTACGGACAAGCAGACGGACATACAGACAAGCGGACATCGCTAAGTCTTAGAATTTTACGCTGATCAAGAATATATATACTTTGTTGGGTCTGACATGAGTATTTCGAGGAGCTACAAACGGAATGACAAAGTTAATATACCCTTCATACTGTGGTGGAGGGTATAAAAACGTAAAAATTATGGCGTTTTACTTTGTTGCAGGTTTTTATTTCACCCTGTATATCTTCATAAAGCTGACGGTATAGAAATACGTCATATATATGTACCTTAAATGCCTTTAAGAACTTAAATCCTTTACAAGATGGGTTAATTTTTTTGGAGAATGCAGGTGGGGTTTGCTCATTACTTTTGTGTGTACCGAATATATTAGATGTACATACATACATGCGTGAATTAAGAAAAAAAAACCTCCTGACATTAAGTTGCAAGTGTTCATAAATTAACATTTTGATGTGTGACATCTAAATTACGCCACCATGACATAAACACCTACACACTCATATACATATAAAACATTATTTAATTTTTTCTGTATAATTAAGATGTCATTAACATATTTGATTCTTCTCCTTTCTCTCTTCCTCCTTCGTCTAGGTGTATTATTTATATCTTTACATTGGTAGTATGATATTCCTACTTTTCATGTATGCCACGCTGCTATGGGGACGACCAAAAATTCCGGCCAATATAGGTAACCAACGCCAACATACGTTAATTAGATTTCGTCTACTAATCGTATATTTCCCTTTGATTCTAGCTTCTCCCACAAAACTCTCGGCCAAGACCCGTTCGACTAGTGCTTCGGAGAGTATGGATGAATCGGATACGGATAGTACATCAACGCATCGCAACAAGCGTATGCCACCGGCCATATCATCGGCGAGACGACCCTCTCTATTATCACCCCTGGGGCGGCAACATCATTACGGTAGTTTCTACTTGCGTATGGGTGCTGTAGGTAAGTGAAGTAAATGGGTCTGTTTTGTTGTGCTTCGCACTATTGTTCGACTTTGCCAGAGATTTATGAATGCTGTAGTAATAAATTTTATAGTAAAAAGTTTTGAATTGTTTGTGGGTGAGTATGTGTGCGGGATGCTTTTAAATGCCAGCGAGAGAGAAATAGTTTATAATGGATTTGTTTTGAAATGGGGTTTTAATGTAACTCGCACATACTCGTATATAAATATTTTTTTCCTTTTTTGAAAACAATAAAGGATTCCTATTTATTGTGAGTTGTTCTCGTTATTTACCAGAAAGCTCAGCCTCTGCAGCATACGACAGTACCAGGACTCTGCAATAATGAGCTCATATTTATTGCTATAACAAATGAGAAAATATTTCTATAACTACAATGATAACATAGGACTTGAGTTTGAAAGTTTCATTAATCAATGGCAGAGACAAATTGTGGGAAAATATGTATAGCTTCGAGGAAAAGTATCAAATTTTGTTTACATTATTAAGACCGGAGGAAAAGTTATTTATAAGGCAGGAAACGCTTCGGGATTACCAAGATAAAAATAAATAGTAGTTTTTACATGACGGAGAACTTAACTTATTGATAAATCGGCTATCCTCAAAAGTCCTCAAATTTGGAACACTGATAAAAATATTGTTATTTGCAAAATCTAAAGAAAATCGAACATTTATTTCTAATTTTATGCGAATAATCAAGACTGAACTTTTGAACTTTTGTGGGAGGGGTACCAGATGGGGTTGGAGTTAATAAATTCCATATTTACATCAGGTCTTTGATTGAGAAAAATATTAGGACATACCAAGTTTGAAAATAATCTTTGACTTGATTTGCAAGTTATGAGAGACATTAATATAAATACTTTTGCCCCTTTGTGGGGGAGGTATTGATACCGTATAAATATTGGAATTTTCGAAAACTAGAAAGAATCAAATGCTTTTTTGTTATTTTATGAAAGATATAGTTTATTCAAACTTTTGAGCCCTTTGTGGAGGAGGTAGAAATATTGATCTTGTTTAGGGAGTCAATAAGCAGGTGCTTGTTTCGCGTTTTATTGGATAAAAAATTATTCAAAATTTTGATCTGTTGTGGGGATGGTCACACCAGATCTTTGTTTATTAAAAATATTGGGATGTGTGAAATATGAAAAGATTCGGGTACTTGTTTCACATTTCATGAGAGATATGATCATTCAAAAATTGTACCATTGGTAGGGGAGGTTCTTGATGGACGGAGATCGATACTGTCCATTTTCACACCTGACCTAGCAGTTATACGAATTTTATGACTTTCAAAGTTTAAAAAAATCGGTTATCCTTTCTTGTTCTATTATGTAAATTATTTCTTTGAAAATGTTGACCTTTTGTGAGGGAGGTACCAAAAGAAATGGACCGATGTTGCCCATCTTCGAACTCGATCTAAGTTTGACAATAATATGATGATGTGCCTGCGTATCAGCCCGGAGGACAGATGAACAGAAACCCCTAGATCGATTTTAAATGGCCTTAAACCAATTTGGTCCAAAGAGACCTAGTAACTAAAATCGTTTTATAACGAAACACATTTTTGGCCGTATCAACCATAATTATAGGCTTCTATTCTAACCTTACCTCCATGCAAAATTTCGTGAAGAAAATTGTGATCTGTTTATAATACAAATTGTACAATTCAATGCAATATAAAAAATTATAATAAAATTTAAAAAATTAAAAAATAACTTATTTATTGGAATATTTTCATGGAAATGTGTATCTTTGTACACAACAGTTATGGTCCATTTTACCCTCTAAATATTATATGGTGACCATTCCAATTGGTAGGCTTCTTCCCAGCCTTAAACTCTAACTCAATGCAAAATTGGTTTATAATTGTTTTTTTTCAGTTTTTGGTTCTTTTCAACACTTACCAAAAATTCGATCGTAGGATTCTATTCTGACACCACCCCTACCTCCATGTGAAATTTTTGTGAGAATCGAGCCATAAATTCGACTTTGTATAATCAATATTTTTGCCAATCAAAGATGTAACGTTCATATTGGGTATATCGGTCCAGCCCTTCTGGTACCTCTCCCACGGAAGGTGAACATTTTGAAAATAATCCCTCTAAAAAACGCAAAATAATTTGCCGATATTTTAACACCCTCCGTCATAGTACCAAGCGACTATTCAGTTTGTTTTTCCGTCTGTAACTCATCGGAATATCAATTTCGAACGCCATAAAGTATACGTATGCTTGATCAGTATAAAATTCAATATATGTCTGTTCGTCTGGGGAAATCAGTCTAGCTTCCGACCGAAATGAAGTAGGTTGATGAAATTTTACTAAAATGCATTTTAGGGCCGTGGAGTTTTCAGCCCATATATATGTTTTTTTTAGTCATAGTTTTAACACGAATAGCTGTCCATACCGGACCAAATTTTTACATTGTCCCCATATAACTGAACCTCCTGATATTCTGCGAATTTTGTCAAAGTTTTTACAGGAATTGTTTTAAAATTTGGTATTTGGAAAACGAAATTGGTACTCCCTCCTATTACACAAAAATTGCCTATACAGATTCATGTCTTCGTATGAACCGCAACAGTATCCCCCCCCCCAAAAAAAAAAAAAAAAAAATTGTTACAATTTTGAATATTCATGAAGCTCATCCGATTCTATTCAGACTTCGCACATCTAAATATTTCCATTTTCAATGATGGTAGAGATCGGACCATTCCTTCTGGTACCAAAGTTTTGAATAAAAAAAAAAAAAACGATCATAAAATCCGAAATAAGCATCCGGTTTTCTTCAAATTACATACATAACAATACTTTTTTTATTAACCCAAGCTCTGCTTTGAAGATCGGATATATCGGTCCACTCCTTCTGGTACCCAAAACCTTGCTTTTCAAAATACTCCAGACACAATTGTCCAACGGATAGTTATCCGGAGATTTTGGTGGCCATTGTGCGCTGGAAATGAAGCGAGGAACCTAATTTTGTAACCATTCTTGGGTGGCTCGTGCTGAGTGCGATGGTGCTGAGTCCTGTTGGAATGTCCAAGATCTGCGGCCAAAATGTTTGCGTGCCCAAGGCTTTAATACACCCTCCAGAATATTTTCGCAATAATATTCGTCATTTTTGTTGATGCCAACGTCGATTAATACGAGCGGAGAGCGACCATCGGCTCTTATGGCGGTCCACACCATCACCATGGGCGGCACTTGAGTTCTGGTGGCCAACCGAATTGTACATTTTCAGCTGACCTCTTTGACATGTGAACACGATCATTTTGTTTGTTTGCAAACTGTTGGACAACGAATGTTTTCTCATCGGAGAAAACAAATTCGGCAGTTCGCTACTTTTGGCCGAGCGAAGCAACTCTTTAGCTCTTTTGAGTCTATTTTCTTTCTGTTGCGGTGTAAGTTCTTGCACTTTTTGGAATTTCAATGGCTGTACCCCGAGCTCATTTTTCAATATTTGCCGAATGAAATTTAGCGATATGTTCTGCTTACGAGCCATTTTTGGCCACGGCAATGCGAGTTTCGATTAAGCCGCTTCTTTACTTTTCCAACCATTTCTGCTGATGTTGCTGTTTTCTTCCGTCCACTTCCTTGACGTCGGGCTACGCTACCAGTATCACAGTAACGAGCGATGGTACGAGAAACAAAACATTTATTCACATTTTAATGTTGGAGTGCTCTAACGATATCCACTCGTGGTTTTCCAGCCAAATATAAACAAATCACACTATCACTCTTGAATTCCATCACGAATAATTTTTTTTCTGGAAAATATATTTTGGTGAGAGATAATGAGCTGTTACTGGAACAATTTTAACAGCTTTCGGACGAGTGGCTTAGAAATGACAGCAGTCTGAAATTGGATGCAGTTTTTTCATATCACCCTGTAAAAGTTCGATTTTCTTGTAATTGTGCCCATACCAATATTTTTTATCTGTATGAGATGAAGTTTGAAAATGGGATACTTCGGTCGACTATATCTGGTACTATATTTTATATATTTTAATATTTTCAAGAAACTATCACATATCTCATATAAAGTGAAGGAAGTAACCAATATAGTCCAAACCTGGCACTTCTAAATATTTATATCATATTTATTTAGGTCCAATGCGAAATGGACAATATTGACCCATTCCTTCGGAACCTAATCCATAGAGTATCAACAATTTGAATAATCATAAGTCAAAATATATTTAAATAATCGAATATTGGCTGAAGGTATACATCCATCGGTATTAGTATTTTTTGTAACATTTTTCATGAAATTTCCCAATATTTGATATCATGCTTTGGAAATAAAATGTTTTCTTTAAAACTATGAAATTTAAAAGGGATCGGTTTGGCATATGATTTAACTTTTGTTCAGTTTTTATCAGAATTTTGCCGTTTTCACTTCCCATTCACTTACAATCGTTATTGGCGTAGATAGTGACAGTGTAATCGGTATCAAGATGACGTAAAAAATCCTTTCCTTATTGGTATGGAGAAGGGAAGGGAAATTAGGATAGAAGAACTAATTACATTTAGACATTTCTGCTCTTGAATAATATCACTTTTTTCCTTCTTTCGCTGTTGGATGAAAAATAATATATGTTTATGTATAGCACTTAAATTCCCCCATCCAAGTGTCTCCATCTCTCTCCCTTTGCCAACAGGATTACTTAGACTTCTTCAATTTACACATTTAATTTATGCTACATGTAATGGCTATACTTTAGGGCCTCATGGTTTGTATTTTACTGGAGTTGTTTTTTATGTCGTTGTTGTTTGTATTTTTTCTTCTTTTGTTTCAGAAAACCCCATGTTAGCGAAAAAAAAACACCAAAACGGTTGAGTGAAAACAGACACACACACACAGAAAATCCTTGCAATCCCGTCATAATTCAATTGTGTGCGAATTATCTTTAAGTTTTCTTAAAGTCTGCTTATCTCCAAGGGGGAGGACAGAGTATCAAGAGTGTCAGACAAACCCACGCACACACACACTCAGACTCACAAGTCTCGCTGGAATTTCGAATTAAATTTGTTGTCGCTTTTATATCCGTCTCCGTTTTCTGTTCATCGTTATTTTAGCTGCTTTTGTTTTTGCAGGAAATTAAACGGAAAATTTTTGATAGTTGGTCGTGGGGACCGCTGTCCTTTATTTATCGTGTTTGCTTTTAAATGACTTTAATGTTGCTTCTTAGTTCTGTGCAAAGAAAAAATTTACATTTCTTGTTGTTTTGTTTAACTTTGTTTTTTTATTTCTTTACAGCCTTCGGTATTGGTAGCATGATATATTCTGGCCTGGAATTTGGTCAATATTTTGAATTGAATCCGGATACAAAATGTCACAATGTTTTGTTGGCTCTGACACCCGCCACGAGAATGGCATTCATTTTTATTCAAATGTATTTTATATTTTTGAATAATGAGGTAAGTAGATGTGTATATTTGATCTACTTAAAATAATGTAAACAAAAATCAGTCATAAGTATGTTAGCCATTCTGAAAAAAAATATTTTTCCGTATTGATTGTAAACCGAATTTATATGCATATAGTTGGGTAACGCGGCAGTGCTTTACATGTAATTTTTTTAAATAGGTGATTTGTAATATTTTCGAAGTGTTGCTTTTGAATTTTTTTTTCAGTTCTTTATTCAATTGGCTCTGGTTTTCTTAAGAAATCCTTAATTTCTTGGCATGATATCCCGACAAATCTATTCAAAAAATCTAGAAATGATTTATAAATTATTCGACAAATTCATGATTATATGCTAGAAAGGTCAGAAATTTTTAAAAATATTTATAAAAAATTCACGATGGTCGGTTCCTTAAAGAATAATTAAATAAATATTTAAATATGACAAAGGGAGATTTTCAAAAATCCACAAATTTCGTAGAAAATTCATGATTTAGTTCTATAAAAAATATTTTTAAAAACTGTACAATTTCCTGGAAATTAATAAAACACTATTTTTGCTCTAGTTTAAAAAAATTAAAAATTCGACAAGTCTACTGTGAGTTTTTTGAAATCCACAATTTAAATATAACCAAGATCTCTTTAAGAATATTTTGTAAAAAAATCATATTTTATTAATATAAAAAAGGTGCCAATATATCGGGGGATGAACAATATTGTGGACCTATATAGACAAAGCTCTGTCTAAGTGTAAAGTATTCACAAAGAACACCCTATGTAGAATTTCAGACAATCCCATTGAAAAATGTGGCTAAAATCATCAAAATACCGAATATCGGGAGATACCGTTATATGGGGGCTATACGATATCGTGGACCTATATTGATAATTATCTTTTAAGGGATGAAGTACTCGCAAGGAATTCCTTGTGTTGATTTTTGGACAACTCCGTTGAAAAATGTGGCTAAAATCATCAAAATACCGAGTATCGGGGGTACCGTTATATGGGGGTTATACGATATCACGGACCGATATAGTCCATCTTCGAACTTGGCCTGCCTCCAGAGAAAAGAGAGATCTGTGCAAAATTTTAGCTTCATATCTTAATTCGTTTTGACTATAGCGTGATTACAACAGACGGACGGACAGGTCTAAAATGATTATTTCGATGAGTTACAAACGGAATGGCGAACTAAATATACCATCCATACTATGTATGGTGGATGGTATAAACATATTGACATTTCATGATTTTGTGTTCAGGATTTCATTGGTGAAAGTTAAAGACATCAACGATTTTTGGTAAGAGTTCCATGAAAAACTCTCCTAGAAATCACGGCTACGATTTAGCTGGAATTCTTTGAAAAATCAAAGGTATTTTATCAACGAGTTCCCTAAATGTTTTATCAATTTTTTTCAAACAATGCGGGTTTTTTTTGATTTTTTACACTATTCGATTTAAAAATGTTGGATTGAAATATTCTTAAATAAGTAAAGAAATTCAGGGCAGGGCCAAATTCAAAACAACGTGAAAATGGACTTAGGATCATAAAAATACCAAATATCGGTGATTACCGTCAAATGGAAATCTTGGACCAATTTGTTTTGACACCGGCCTCTATCGGTCCGGTAATAAAGTACATGTACCGAACTTGCAACATTTCAGATAACAAATTTGATAAATCGTAAATATACTGAATACAGGGTGAGATAAAAAAAAACTGCAACAAAGTCAAACACCATAATTTTTACATTTTTTGTTTTAAATCTTATTGAATGAAACCAAAAAATTTCGAAAATGGCATGAAATTTTAGAATAAGTTTAGATTTGTTCGAATTGGTCACCTTTGGCACGAATAATGACCTTCAAACGGCCAATGACACACGCTGTCCGAATGTTGCTCTGCGGTATTTTGGCCCATTCCCGGCGAAGCGCTTTCTTGAGATGATCGACACTTTGGTATTTTTTAGTGCCAAACTTGCTTTCCAAAATACTACAGACACAATAGTCCAACGAATTGGTATCCGGAGATTTTGGTGGCCATTGTGCGCTGGAAATGAAGCGAGGAACCTCATTTTGTAACCACTCTTGGGTGGCGCGTGCTGAGTGCGATGGTGCTGAGTCCTGTCGGAATGTCCAAGGTCTGTGGCAAAAATGTTTGCGTGCCCAAGACTTTAATATTTTCGCGATAATATTGATGCCACGGTCGATTAATACGGTTAATAGGGTAACCATCGGCCGTTAAGGCGACCCACACCATCACCAGGGCCGGCGTTTGAGTTCTGGTGGCCAACCGAAGGTGCACATTATCAGCTGACCTCTTTGGCAAATAAACACATTATTTAGTTTGTTTACAAACTGCTGGATAACGAATGTTTTCTCTTCGGAGAAAACCAAATTTGGCAGTTCACCACTTTCGGCCAAGCGAAGCAACTCTTTAGCTCTTTTGAATCTATTTTCTTTCTCTTGGGTGTATGTTCTTGCACTTTTTGGAATTTAAATGGTTTTACTCCGAGCTCATTTTTCAATATATGCCAAATGGAGTATTATGATATGTTCATCTCACGAGCCATTTTTCGGCAACTGCGACGCGGGTTTCGATCATGTCGCTTCTTTACTTTTCGAACCATTTTTGCTTACGTTGCTGTTTTCTTCCGCCCACTTCCTTGATGTCGGGCTACGGTACCAGTATCACGGTAACAAGCGATGGTACGAGACACAAAAGATTTGTTCACATTTAAATGCTGGAGGGCTCTAACGATAGCCACTTGTGGTTTTCCAGCCAAATATAAAGAAATCACACTATCACGCTTGAATTCGATCACGAACAACTTTTTTTCTTTAAAATTCTCACCAAAATGCTTTGGGTACGCTTGTAAACAATATAATGAGCTATCACTGGAATAATTTTAACACCTGTCGGACGAGTGGCTTAGAATTGACAGCAGTCTGCAGTTGGTTGCAGTTTTTTCATCTCACCCTGTATATTACAACAGTTACATTTCAACATCTCCGAAAAACAACCCAAAGTAATTCTCTCAAATTTTAATTCTCTCATCTGCTTCTTTTTTTGCAGCAAATCAAAGTCTATCGCTATAAAATCATAGCCCGTTTCGGATTGATGCATATGATTGGAACGAATCTTGCCGTTTGGCTGAATGTCCTGATACAGGAAACAAAACACGAAATATTGACATTTTATAATCCCGAAAATCGAACGCTGCGCATATCACATCGAATACCGGGACATTCAAGGGCTCACTCTGTGTTGGCACCATCAGATCCAAACGTCCTGCTGCGCGTACCACGAGGCCTGAAGGGTCCCTATCAGATATTTGAATGTCGACGTACAAATATTTTGGGAACATTGGTGCAGGATGCCTCACCCTTCCTGTTTCCCTGCACGATTGAATATTCTCTGATATGTGCTGCCATCCTGTATGTCATGTGGAAGAGTATCTCCCGACCACAGATACCGAAACCCCAACGACCCGATATGATAAGTTCACCGGTTAAACGATCTCCACACCACTATTCGGTGGACTGTGCCCGGGCCCACAAGGGCCTGTTTGTGGGTATTCTGATTTTGGTGCTGACCATAATTTCTTTGATTCTATTCTTCGTATTGATCTCACGACCGGACTTTGTGGCCTTGGCCGTAATGGAGGTGACGATTTGTGAATTGTTTATCTATGGCACAGCAACAATAGCCACGCTGGTGGGAATGATTCAAATACGTCATCTGCAGTACGATGCCTATCGCAGTTTCTCCTTGGATGATATTCTGCTGGTGGGTGCCCAGACGGGTTCATTTTTGTATAACATCTTCACAGTAATTGCGGGACACTTTTCGCTGAGAAGTGATGATTGGCTGGTACCGCTCAACGCCTTGGCATCCATTGTGCAGACAGCGTGTCAAACTATGTTTATATTGGACGCCAGTCGAAGACAGGCCGTGACACCGGAACATATTCGTAAGAAACCAGGTCGAGAAATTGTTACCTTTATGTTGGTTGTTAATCTGGCCATGTGGGCCATCAGCACGCTGGAAAAGTCTCGGGCCGAGTCACATCCTATACAGCTGAATTTCTATGGCCTGTGGGCCTGGACCATTATCACCCATGTCTCAATGCCTTTGGCGATATTCTATCGTTTCCATTCCACGGTGTGTTTGTGTGAAATCTGGAAGCGGGCCTATAAACTAAAACCGACGTACATGTGAGAATTAGCCCGTGAGCGCATTGCCAGCATTGCGCAACAACAACAATTTTGTGAGGAACTTAAGACCAACTTGTCGTATTGTTATTGTTCGACAACCATAGTTGAGACCATTGAGGAGGCGGACAGTAATGGCAGTGGTAGTGGTGGTAATGGAGTCGCAACCTCGAATGGCCATGGCAGGGGAAATTGTGAACCATCAGCTCCACCGGCTGAAAAATGTGGCAATGGCTCGGAAACAACAACTGTAGTGTTAGAGGGTGGTGGAATTGGCACAGGCACCGAAGCCACCGAGGAGGAAGATCTGGAGACAACCGATAATGAAACTGTCGTGGAATCGAAGCAACAATCGTCGAGGAAATCAAGTGCTGGTGCTGGTGGCGGAGGCGGTGGCAATGGTCGTGCATTTTGTCCAGTCTACATCATCAATGGTCAATGAGTTTATATGCAACTGGAGTTCATCGATGCCAATTCACAAAAGGAACTCAGCTTTGTTTAGGCTCAATGTTGGATAAGGCGAGAGAGAGCGAAAGAGAATGAGAGAGAGAGAAAACCGAGCAAAGACACCGATGTTCTATGACTTCTTCGAAGGTGGATTCTTTTGATCTTCTTTTGTAGGCATAAGGAAACTAAACGAAAGCAAAGCAAAGAAAAGAAAAAAATATATATATCTATCTATCTACAAAAAACAAATATACACACAAATACAAAAATAACAAGAACAAAAAAACTTAAAAGTAATTTAAAAGACAAAAAAATAAAACTACTGACCAATTTTGTTGCTCTTCTTTGTAAGGAATCATCACCACCACCACCATTGTCATTTCATCCTTTCCTCAGTCATTAAAACTCATTTGTTTAGGCAATAATTTTTTGAAACTAAAAAAACACACAAAAATAAAAAATTATTAATATTATTGTATATATTATTAAATAATGAGATATTATATATATGTTTGTAAATTTTATTTAATTATTTTTAAATAATGTAAACCCCTGAACAAAGCAATCAAAAAAAGAAATTGATAAGAAAATAAAAATTAAGATATTTGTTTTGTTTGTGAGCGACATTCCAAAGATTATTTAAATTTTATATATATTTATATATATTCTAATGATGTATTAATATTATTTTAATTTAATTTTTAAATAAACAAATTATTTTATTTGAAATTGTTGTTGTTTTTTATTTCAATCGTTTTGAAACATATTTTTTTTGAATTTTTTGACCCTTTTTATTATTTTTTATTTCGATTTTTTTGGTAAACATTTTTGAAAATGATACACAGTTTATGAATGTGTACATAGAACTGGAAGATGTTAGATTTGGATCAACGGATTCTTCAATTTCAAAATACGAAGACTTAAGTCGACATTTTATGTAATGCTCCGGTTTGAACTGTTGATTACATGGCAAAAGCACTGTGGACCCAATAGCCAACCCCCGGCTAAATATCCTTTATAAATATAATCTTTTGTGATTTTTGAGTTTTATCAAAGAATGTATTTGAATCAGTTCAAAAATGTCCAATAATCTGAAAAGTAACATTTTGTGGGCTGTAATTTTTCAAAGGCCTCCACCATAGAAAGGAGGTTATATTAAATCAGTCATTCCATTTGCTACACCCCCAAATATTTTCCGGAGGCTCTATAAAGTATTTATATGTATTCATGAACAGCATAAAATCCTGAGTCAATTGCACGTTGTCCGTCCGTCCGATGAAATCCAGTTATAGTTTATATAATTTGAAGTAAAGCTTTGAAATTTGACATTCGATATTTTTGATAATTTTATTCACATTAATCCAGAATCTTTGTAATGCATAGAAGGCATACAGAAGACCCTCCAAGTGAAGGACTGTTATGCACAGGGGACCTTTTCCATATCAGAAATAACTTCATAGGGAACTTCTTTGTAGAGGTAGTCTCAAGGTTTTCTTCCATGTTCTAAAGACTCCAATAAAGCAGATCTCTGAATTTCACTGTTTTCTGGAAATCGAGCGATAGCACCCTTGGAATATTAAATAAATATGAAAGAGTATGTTTCGCTCGTTTTAAAGTGAGAGCTAAATTCGTTGTTGTATTTGACCGTTGTTATATTTGAATGTATGTGTACAGGAGATAAAACACTGCAACAAAGTCAAACGCCATAATTTTTAATTTTTTTTTTATTTTATTGAATTTTGGTCCATTCCCGGCGAAGCGCTTGCTTGAGGTGATCGACACTATGGAATTTTTTTACTGCCAACCTTGCTTTCCAAAGTACTCCAGACACAATAGTCCAATGGATTGGTATCCGGAGATTTTGGTGGCCATTATGCGCTGGAAATGAAACGAGGAACCTCATTTTGTAGCCATTCTTGGGTGGCGCGTGCTGAGTGCGATGGTGCTCAGTCCTGTTGGAATGTCCAAGGTCTGCGGCCAAAATGTTTGCGTGCCCAACGGTTTAATACACCCTCCAGAATATTTTCGCGATAATATTCGGCATTTATTCTGATGCCACGGTGGATTAAGGCGAGCGGAGAGTGACTATCGGCTATTATGGCGGGCTACACCATCACCATGGCCGGCGTTAGAGTTCTAGTGGCCAACCGAAGGTGCACATTTTCAGCAGACCTCTTTGGCAAGTAAACACGATCATTTTGTTTGTTTACAAACTGCTGGACAACGAATATTTTCTCATCGGAGAAAACCAAATTCGGCAGTTTACCACTTTCGGCCAAGCGAAGCAGCTCTTTAGCTTTTTTGCAGTCTATTTTCTTTCTGTTGCGGTGTAAGTTCTTGCACTTTTTGGAATTTCAATGGCTTACCCCGAGCTCATTTTTCAATATTTGCCGAATGGAATACTGCGATATGTTCAGCTCACGAGCCATTTTTCGGTCTCTGCGACGCGGGTTTCGTTCAAGTCGATTCTTTACTTTTCGAACCATTTTTGCTGATTTTGCTGTTTTCTTTCTTCCACTTCCACGGTTACGAGCGATGGTACGAGACACAAATGATTTATTCACATTTAAATGCTGGAGTGCTCTAACGATAGCCACTTGTGGTTTTCCAGCCAAATATGTAGAAATCACACTATCACGCTTGAATTCCATCACGAATAACTTTTTTTCTGGAAAATTCTCACCAAAATACTTTTGTACGTTTGTAAACAATATAATGAGTTGTCACTGGAATAAGTTTAACAGCTGTCGGACGAGTGGCTTAGAAATGACAGCATTCTGAAGTTGGTTGCAGTTTTTCTATCTCATCTTTTATTTAAATATATTCTGACTTGCGTTATAATTATGTTGACCATTTATGGTAGAGGTTTCTCTCCTGAACTGATGTCCCAGGTTTGAATTATATCACCTACTTTCTTCATACATGTATGGAATATGTGTGAAATTTTTTAATACACTTCATCTTATATTGATAAAATTATAGGGGCGCATACTTTTGAAAAAAATTAGAAAATTATTTCAAATGTTGGTCCCTTGTGGGGGAGGACAGGAAGAAGTGGGTGCAGAAGACCATATTCTGGACTGATAATGGCATATATAAATTTTGAGAAATATCGCTGACTTGTTTCGTAGTTATCATCTTTTGGAAGAACAATTAAAATTTTGACAACCAATAAGAGGAGGTTAGAAAAACCCCTTTTTCTTTTATTCGACATCGAAAACAGTTCGATCGAAATGTATTTCTGTGTGCTTATTTTAGATTGATAAAAAATGAAGATTTTGGCATAAACAATTGACGTTTAACTCTGAAACTTGATATTTAGTCGTTTGCATATTAAAATTAATCTTCTTCGAAATTATTTCGTTACGAATGAAAGAATTCGGACCCAGATATTCGAAATAAATATAACCTTTCTGTTGCTAATTTATCTGCTCCCCTAAAAATTGCCCATCAAATACTATGGCAGATAAATTTGAATAATGTTAGACTTTTTTTATCAATATTAAAAAATTTAATGAATTTCAACATTGCCCCTAATTTTTAAAATGTTTTCTTAATTGAATATTTTATTTAAAATTTTTTAATTCAATTATTTTTTCCCATTTTCCTCACTAAACATTGTCGTTATTAATAATTACAAAAAAGTAAAATAAACACACACATTAAAATGTCACTACTAACGAAAAAATGTTCAAATTATTTGTGAAAAATCAGAAATAAAAAACTGAAAAACTAAATAATCATGGAATCTTTGTAATCTCAAAATCATAGTTAACGTAACTCAAAGTATTGGAAATATATATTAAAACCTTAACAAAATATATATAATTGATATAAAACCTATTGAACAAATAAAAACGAGAAATGTAGGATATGAATTCGAAATCAGTATCAGTAATGTGTTGTTCTTTATAAACGAATGCTATTTGTAGGATCAGCAGAATACAATATTAAAACTGTTTTTTGATAGTGTTGTAAACCAGTAAAGCATTTAAAGCAATTTAACAATTTTTTTGTAAAACTAAAGTAAATTAAGAAATTAAAAACAAAACGGAAAATTAATAAAAAAATACACAAAACTAAAAGTACACAAATGATCATTTTTTCGGAATTAACAAAAAAATAACGATTTAAATAGTAAATACTTACATGATACTACTACATTCATACAACAAAGAAGGACCATTTTATTAAAAAGAGGTATACTTAAAAATATTTTCGGAATATATTTGATACCCTTTTCCAAAGTTTTATTTGTCAGAAGCAATGGTTTTTGCTCCTTTCATTTCTTCACTTCCTCCAAAGACTTATTTATTTTTACAGAAAAACAGAGAGTGTTTTCATAGAAGAGGTTCTTACAGAGAGCCAGTAAGTCTTCTTATAGAAAGCCAGTCGGTCTTCCTATAGGAAGCCAGTGGGTCTTCTTATAGAATCAAAGACGTTCTTCATATAGAAGACCAGAAGGCCTTGAAATAGTAAACCAGAAGGCCTTCAAATAGAAGACCAGAAGGTCTTCGAATAGAATACCAGAAGGTCTTCAAATAGAAGACCAGAATTGCTTTTAATAGAAGACCAGAATTTCTTTTTATATAAGACCAGAAGGACTTCTCATAGGAGACCCGAAGGTCTTCTTATGGAAGACCAGAAGGTCTTCCTATAGCAGACCAGAAAGTCGTCTTATAGAAGACCAGAAGGTCCTCTTATAGAGGACCAGGAGGTCTTCTTAAAGAAGACCAGAAGGAAGAAGAATTGATGGTCTCCTTATAGAAGACTAGAAGGTCTTCCTATAGAACACCAAAAAGTCTTGTTATAAAAGATCAGAAGGTCTTCTTATAGAAGACCAGAACGTCTTCCTATAGAAGACCAGAAGGTCTTCCTATAGAAGACCAGAAAGTCTTCCCATAGAAGACCAGAAAGTCTTCCTATTGAAGAGCAGAAGGTCTTCCTTTAGAAGAGCAGAAGGTCTTCCTATAGAAGAGCAGAAGGTCTCCCTATAGAAGAGAAGAAGGTCTCCCTATAGAAGAGCAGAAGGTCTTCCTATAGAAGACCAGAGGGTCTTCCTGTAGGAGAGCAGAATGTCTCCCTATAGAAGAGCAAAAGGTCTTCCTATAGAAGACCAGAGGGTCTTCCTATAGAGGACCAGAGGGTCTTCCTATAGAAGACCAAAAGGTCTTCCGGAAGTCCAGAGGGTGTTCTTATAGAAGACCAGAAGGTCTTCTTATAGAAGACCAGAAGGTCTTCTCATAGAA